CTTTCGGTTAGAATGAGGAAATCTTAGTTTTTAGATTTAGTACATTTAGGTTTTCAAATCAAGAACATTCTTGATCTTGCATTGATGTTCCTTTGAAATTTATAATTCTATCTTCTTTGTTAGTGCTCAATGAATCCTGAACTTGATTTTCTTCGAATATTCTCATTTTGAAACCGTTTCTTAATTTAAGTTCAGTCCTTCAAAAGCCTAAAGGACTGCTTAATATGCGGTTTAGGACTTCTGGATGAACTAGTGCGCTTAGATGATGTTTTGTGCGGAGTTCCTTTTACTTATTACGTATCAGCTTAATCTTTCCAAGAGATAAAACCTTAGGAAGTCTGAATGACCAATTAGATGAAGTCTTGTTAGCTTTGCGAAGCAAGGATGTGACATTCTTGACTAGCTTTAGTCAGGGTAATGGCTGATTGTTGATGGGGTGGGTCCGATGGAGTAATCTGGTCAATCGTAGACGGACTCCAGCCCCCGACGGCTACGAACCATCAACCAGAAGCCTAACGACGTGTGTCAATGGTCAGCGAACATGACTTCATACCCCACCCCGTGTGAATTCTCCGAATGTGAATAAGACATCATGAAAATCCGTAGAATCAGGATATATTTGTCACCTGGCGTAGGACAATGTATGCTGACGGCTACACAGATGCATTTCACGTAGGTCTCCAACTGTTCAGAAAAGGAGAGGTGAACCGAGCGAAAAGTGTCTAGTAATGCAGGAATTATTATCAATCGTTATAGGTACAAGACGAAATATGAGAAATGATCTGTCGGGCATCGGTGCAAGGGACTAGGTGAAAAAAAAAAAATGGTGAGGAGGATTTTGAATAGGAACCGTGGAATTGAAAGAGATTCGTGTATTAGGAGGCCAATTTCCATTTCATGATACTGCAAATTTTGGAAAAGGGGCTTTTCTCTGGAGGTTTGGAGATCCTTTTCATTGACTTTTTAGATTAGGCTAGAGAAAGATTATAAAGCTCACATCTTATGGAAAGTTTCTACTTATTCTGAGGAGATTTTCTTTAAACATTAAACGAAGGAGAATAGTTGTAGACAAATTAATCCATTCATTAGATTATTTTGAAGAACTCTTCATTTGTGGAGTCAAATTATTTACATTTGGGGAACTAAGATCATTTTTCCTTTTTTAAAATTTATAACTATCTTGTTTGTTCATTTTCAATCAATCCTGAATATTATTCCTTTAATTTAAGAACTTGACTTTCTTTAAATGTCACTTTGTCCTGAAAACTAAGAAATCTTTTGAAAAGTTTTAGCAGATCGTTCGGATAAAAATCGTTGCTCGCTCTAAAGGGTCACAAGGGTAAAAAATAATGAGTTATAAGGGAATTCCCATCAAATTGATGACAAGCCGAAAGAAAAATGTAAAAAGTCTTGAAAAAATGGGCCCCAAAGAACTTTTTACACCTTTTCAAAGCCGTCCACAACTTGAAATGGCTTCATCCTTCGATTTTTGACTGGAAGACCCAGAGAGGAGGGTGGTACCATGCCTCTCCAATTTACAGACAGCCATTATCGTGCGGTCGGACGCGCATTTGGGCCAGACAATGGCTGCTACCACTCGTTAATGTAATAGGCATCCAAAAAGGTGCGACCTTCCTCCTTCTCTCTTTTTCTCTCTCTCTCGGCTTCGTGCCGCAGTCAAAGTCAGCCGCATAACGAAAAGCCTTTACCTTCTGGCCCCTATCTCTTCTTCTTAGGATTTTGTTGTTTCTCTCACTCTGGTGCAGGTGGAGACCCTACCTGAACCAAAAACGCTTCAACGCGCCGGTTCTCCGGGGAAATATTATTTTATGCGATTATTATCTTTAATAACAAGGCTTCTGGTGTGAGGGGAAAGTCTTTTATTCGGTTGGAAATGGCTTCGGCCACTGGGAGGGAAGCGAGGAGCAAAAATTAAGAGCGAATTTATTGTAATTTGAGGAACTTGGTCAAGAATTTTAGGGAGGGGGTGGGCAAAATGGACACTTTACTTTTCTCTCAATGTTCATAACTCAGAAACAAAACAGTCAATTGAGTTCAGGTTGGACTCATCAGAAAGGAAGAGAATTACACTTTCCAAAGAAAAAAGAATAGCCGATTAATCAGAAATTCTATGAGTTATTGAGATTTTAAACAGTACGAGGGGCCCATTTTGCCTCGACTCGTTCTATCAATGAAACATCGTCGAAGGCATTCCATTCTAAACGTATTAATTCGTAGTTATTCAATGGCTTTCATAGTTATTCAGCGGTTTTTCCGATTCGCGTCAATTTTCCAACTCTTATTCATCTAATAAAAACTACAATACGAAATAATTTAGGTAAAGAGTATAAATTGTTGTATAAACCTTATCGAAACAAACGGAAGTAGTTAATAAAGGTGGATTAGGGGGGGGGAGGTGGATGACAAGGCTAATTTCAGGTACAACAGCCTAATTAACGATAGAGCATGTTAACATAACTGGAAACAAATTGGGAGCAATTACAGAAGAGGACAAAAGGTTTCTAATTCTCAGGGATTTTTATTTGAATCTAGCATGATTGTAGTTAAATGAATACTTAGTTGTTGTTATTTTGAGGAAATCTTGGTTCATGAAGGACATTTGAGCTTTCAAATTTAGAAAATTCTCGTTCTTAAATTGATAATTTTTCTTGTTTCCAAATTCATCTACTTATTTTTCCAAGTTTTTTAAAATATCTCTGGTATTTATAATTCTATCTCAAAGGAAATTAATAACCCCTTTGTTTTATTGGAAATGTATCTTTGGATATTTTGACTCAATTAATTTGACACAATTTTTTTTAGTTTAGGAAAATAATTGTTCTTAATTTAAAAATTCGATTGTTATTGCGTCGTCAAAGAAAATTACAAACAATAACTAAAAGTTTGTGATTCTTAGGGATTTTGTTTAAGTTGTAGTTATTTTAAGAAAATATTAATGGTTTTTGAATTCGCAACATTTGACTTTTCAAAATAATAATATTCTCGTTCTTGAATTGATGATTTTGCCTGTTTTAAATTCAATCCGCTCATGTTTCAAGTTTCTTTTGAAACGTCCTTGAAGTCTAATATTATTCCATCTCAATGTAATTCATGAATCCTTCATTCTTCAAAGTGTGTCACCCGACGTCTTGACTCAATTAATGTTCAATTAATTCTCAACTTTATTCCTTCCAAATGCACTCACTTTAGGCAAAAAATCTCCTTAATTAAAAAAATCTCCTGTTCTCATTCTAAGAGCCCTTTTCACCCCGAAAAAATTATTTTTTGTAACTTAATTCTATATTTTCCTTTCCAAATTATTAAATAGAGTTATTCTTATCCTGCGGAAAATGCATATTAGAACCATGAGTTTCTCAAAATCAGTAACTAATTCCCAAAAACAAGAACCTATTTTTATTGATTAGAATTCATTATATTCATTATATCATCTATATTAATAATTAATTCATTATCATTTATAATAATAAATATTAAGAATTGAATGGAAGTGAATTACCAAATCCCCTGTCAACTCTAACCCTCAAAACAACCTGAAATTAAAATGTTTGAATAACGAAATAATTATTCTGATACCACGGAGCCCAAAAAATTTCTATTTTGGACCGCAATCCGCTCATCCCACGGAGAAGAGAAAGAGGATAGCTCATAGGTAGGGAGAAGATTCTCTCTGGATTGGTCAGAGGGCGTGGACCTTTGGGTTCACTATAGCCAGCAGGTGGATCCTAGACATCCCCCTCTCCCTCCTTTGTCCCTCAATTAGTCGCGTTCTCTCTTTTTTCCCCCGTGCAGCCTCCCCGAAAAATTTACCTGCTCCAAAGACTCGTCAGTTTTCAAGTGCCGTGCAACGGCGCCGATACCCGTTTCCGTTGAGTCACAGTGAAATGCATTTTTTCGGTTTTTTTTTCATCATCGTTTCGAGTTTTTAATAGGAATTTTCGGCGTCGTGGACCGAATTGATTCCGTGTTGGATAGGTTCTTGTGTGGATTATCAGTTGGGGGAGGATAATTAAGGAGACTGTGGGAAAAATGAAGAATTAATAAGTGAATGTGGAGTTTTGTTTGGGAATTAACGGAGTTCCGGGTTATGTGCGACTTTGTGAGGTGAAGATTCCGTTAGGAAAGCGTAACATGGAGGAGAAATACTATTAAATCAATTGAAAATATTTATGAGGCGAGAACAATTTCTTTTGAAGACTTGGTTTGGGATTTTTTTGACACTTTCTATTCCATTTTTTATCAAGAAAAAAATTGTTCATGTGTTAAAGTCCATTGAAGATTTCTCATTTCTTTGTGAAAGATGCTGTCAAAGTGATAGACATCCGCAACTTCATAAATTGATTGCAATTATTTTTGAGTCAAGAATAATTTCTTTTGAAGACTTGTTGGAGTTTTTTTATCGTCATTTTTTTCCACAATTTCTATTGCAAAAGAATTCTTCTTGTGTTAAAATCTATTCAATATTTCTCATTTTTTGTGAAAGATTCTGTTAAAATGACAGACATCTGCAGCTTCATGAATTGATGAAGTCTTCTGAGTTAAGAATAATTTCTTTCGAAAAATTGTTTTGGAATTTTTTTGTCGTAAATTTTTTTACAATTTTTATTCTGTCATTTTGTTAAGCAAAAAAAGGGTTCTTGTATTAAAATCTATTCAAGATGTCTCATTTTTTGTGAAAGATTCTGTTGAACAAGTGATAGACAACCGAAGTTTTATAAATTGATAGAAAATTTTTTTCAGTCAAGAACAGTTTCGTTTGAAGACCTATTTTGTTATTTCTTTGTCGCTAAATTGTTTCAGTCTTGTTCTTGTATTAAAATCACAAGAGTTCTCATTTCTTTTTGTGAAAGATTCCGTGAAAGAAGTGATTGATCGACATCTGCAGTTTCATATCCTGGGAATTAACGAATTGAGAAAGAAAATATAATTGATGATTATCAATTGTGAAAATGTGTTGGTGAAGGATTGTTAAAAAATTTCAGGGGAATACATCCCAACGGGCAGTCCGAGTGGTTGTGGTAACAGTACTGGAGAGAGTGCCGATCAGTTTCTGGGCGCCCCGTCACTGAATCTCGACGACTCACCGATCGGCCTGACAGATGATTCCCTCGGATTGAACGATAGTTTAGGACTTGAAGATGATTTTGCATCGGAACTGCTGAGTGATAGTTTGCTCGGTGGTGACGGGGTTGAGGGCCTGCTCAGCAACGACTCGCTGGGTCTGCCCGACGGATTCAATCTCGAGGAGGCGCTGCAGCTTGTGGGTCTCAATGAGGTGCAGCCAGAGGTAAATTACTATAATTTCCTTTAATAATTCCTTCTGCATGAGTTTTACTAGGATTTCTCCGCAATAACATGACTTTTTCAAAGACTCGTGAATTTTTTTACAACAAAAAGCAATGAATTTCACTTAATTTCATCAAATTTAAGTCTTAATTGATAGAATGTTCGAAGAACATGAAAAAATGCAGAAATGACGATTGATTTTGTTTTGATCAATCATTTTCGATTTTTATATGCAACTGAAATTGAACGGTACGAAATCTATCATTAGTTTCCTTAAATAAAAACATAATACATGTAATTCTCAAACAATTTCAAAAGTCAATGTGTGAAATTAAATTGTAGGCTTTAATGAGGCTCAACCAGAGCTAAATTCCTATAATTTTCTTTAACAATTCCTTCTGCATAATGTTCTACTGGGATTTCCCCGCAGTATCTTTCTGAAGATTTTATCTTTTCTACTATAAAAACCGATGAATTTCACTTGATTTAATGAAGATCAACTGTGTCAATTGATCAAATTTTCCAATAAACCAAAAAAATGTCAGCAATTGACAATTAATATTTTCTTTTGTGAATTATGTTCGATTTTTGGATTCAACTGACATTAAGAAATATGAAATCTATCATTTGTTGCTCAAAAAAAAAATTAAAACAATATCTTCCAAGAAATTTCAAAACTCAATGAGTGCTTTTGAAGTTGTAATAGTGTAGAAGTTGAAAATAATAGTTTGATATTGTGAAATTCAGGAAATAAAGCAAGAAGAGAAGAAGAAGAAGTTAGACTGCGCAAAATCGAATTCCCCTGATCTCCCTGGAGGTAGTGAATCAGGCAACGATCTCAATTCATCAAGCAGTGACGATCCCGAAGACGACATGATTCACACACCGCAGTTCCATCATCCCCATCATTCTCACCGGTCCTTACAGGTACGTCAAAATATCTATCTTTAGTATAAAGTAGAGTAGCCAACCTTTGGCCAATACCGTTGGTTAACACGAAAAAAGACACCAACGTGATCATTTGGACCTAACACCTTCGGTAGTAACGCTGAGAATTATGAAATGTAACATAAGGTTACAGGAAAGCATGAAATCTAGAAGACATTCAAGAAATATTAAGGAGAAATCCTACCCAATCCCAAAACATCATTCGATCTTCATGCGACGGTACCTCAAGCTTGAAAGTTAAATTCTCGTAACCTTTACTATAGGATTTTGACTGGAAACAATCCGTTCTTTGAACAACGTCTTTCATTGATTCACAGGAAGGGAAAAAGTATGAAAGTTTGAATTTCGGAAGTCTTGTCATAAAATCTGGCACTTAAAAAATGAAAGCTTGCATAATTGTGCGTGAATTACAAAATTATGAAATGGTTCGTAGATTTCGACATTCTTATGCTGAAATTAAGAACACTGTCATGGATGAATCGATGATCTTTCCTGTTTTAAAATTCATCTACTCATGTTCCAAGTTATCTTTTAATTCGATCTCGATCGGATTCACAACTGCTTTGTTTCTGAAAGTATCTAACCTGATACCAAGGACACAGATGTGTTCAATTGAAGAAGATTATACATTAGAAATAAATAGCATTGCTATTAAATTTTCTACTAAATTTGAACTAGAAAGCTAGAAACTGCTTCTCCCTGTGCTATTTCGTGTCCTCGTTCTTTCTTTATTTCATGTACGCTTTCCTTTATACAAGACCGAACAGATCTAGAATTCTAATTCAAGCTCACGGGGAAAAATGATGTCCAAAATTGATTTTTTCTTGTTCTTAAATTCATCTACTCGTGTGTCAAGCAATCTTCTAAAAAAACCGAAAATCTATAATTTCATCTCACAATAATGAACGACTATTGTTTTTGAGAGTATCTGATACCCAACTCAATTAAAGTTTAACTTCATCTCTAAATTCCTAACGCTTTCAGTTTAATATCACAAGGTTTGTCTTGAAATAGAACTAGAAAGCTAGAAACTTCATTCCTTTGTCCTATTTCATGTCTTCCTTCTCTACATTTTCCTTTATACAACACCAAACAGATCTAGAATTCTATCTTAACCGCCCCGGCAAAAATGAAGTCTTAAATTAAGCCAGATGATTTTTCCTGTTCTGAACTTCATCTCATGTTTCAAGCTATTCTCCAAAAGAACCCCAAAATCTATAATTTCATCTCAAAATAATGAATGATTCCTGTGTTTTTGAGAGTATCTGTTACCCAACTCAATTAAAGTTTAACTTCATCTCTAAATTCCTGACGTTCTCAGTTTAACACGACAAGTTTTGTGTTGAAATAGAACTAGAAAGCTAGAAACTTCATTCCTTTGTCCTATTTCATGTCTTCCTTCTCTACATTTTCCTTCATACAACACCAAACAGATCTAGAATTCTATCTTAACCGCCGCAGCAGAAGTGATGTCTTAAATTCAGCCACTTTAGTCTATTTTTTCACGACGTTTGTCTAAAAAAGGTTTAAAAAAATGGAAGAAAAGCATTGTAATTGGCGTCTTAGAGTCTCAATCAAAGGCTCTGTTTTTTCGTGCGCTGACTGACAACTTCTCTCTTGAAATGTCAAAACAAATCTTTCCCCATCTCCATTCAGCCAAGCCCCATTCTTCCAATCCTAGCGCAATATCGCTGGTGGTTTTGTCGAAAATGTCGGTAATTAAAGGTTGCCCTGGTGATACGCTCCCTACAATGATATACGAAGTAGGAAACACAGTAAAGATAAGAGTACAAGAGTATAGCGGGGTTTCTAGAGGCGTATGAGCCGTGTTGTTAGAGCGGCGTTTACGATCCATAAACAGGACATTCATTATTTACAACTGCGACCACGAGAATACCCCGGCGTTGATGCTCCATTGGATTGTGTATGGCAAGAAAAGAGAACTTAGGTACCATACAACTTCAAGTATATACCGGCATCGCGTACCCAACAATTATACGTCGTAACTGTGGCTTAATGTAACGAGTCGATGTGCAAGTTTTGTAGTTAACCGGAGAAAAAAATACTTTTTCACCTTCTAGGAGTACCTCTTCGCTGGCTTGTGGATTTTTTGGTGTTAGAAGTTTTGTCTTGACGCGTAATATCGGGATTTATCTCACATCTGGCGATCGTAGATGAATATCTCCTGTTCTTGACTAAGAAATTTACATTTATTCTTACGAATAGGAGATAATTCTTTGAACTTATGGACTTAAATTACTGTTTGGTAGTTTTTTGGAGCGTGAAATGCATTCGATTTTATGGTTGAGCCCTTGGGACCGGTATGATCCTTCAAAATTGTGACTGCGGTGAAGCCAAATATTGGAAATCTTATTATTTTCAACTATGAGACGATGAAGACTAGTGTCTTGAAGACGTCTTGAGTTACGTCATTAGACACAATAATGTGTCTTTTCCAATTTTATGCATCACTGGGTATTTTTTCGTATTTTTTAGAGATGTCGGTCTCAAGAAAAAATAATGAAATGTTGATGTTTTTGTGAGCCCTTCAACTGTAAGGCCGAGGTTACCTCCTCATATCTCCCAAAAAAATGATGAACTATTGAAAAAAAAAAACTAGTGAGCGATGAATGAAATCTTGCTTGAAAGACCGTACAAGTTCCAGAATTTTTCCAGATTTCATAATAATGATACGGGAAATTATGAGTTTCGGGTCAAATTCTATCCATCAAGGCTCACGTGTGGCAATGACGCCTTCGCCGCGAGTGGCGCGCAATTCGAATGTCTGATGCATTTCAATATTGTTTCAACAATTGGAAAAATATTAGGAAAAATAATTTAACACTCGTAATTAATGGGAAAAAAATGTTCAAATGCGATTGAAAATTTTCGTATTCGAACACGAAACACGAAATTGGACCCAATCCTCTCAAAAGGGAGCCAAAATTCTCACAATTTCAGACACTATTTTTCCGCTGATATTGTTCCTCCTTATCTTTACCGTAAATAGACTCTCGTCCGTGTGCTACCAAAGTCCCTCATAAAATCCCCCCGATAAATACCCGGGGAAAGGCTGATGTGACAGCAGGTGAGAAGAGATTAGATGTCAATGTCGTGCGTAACACGGAAAATAATTATTACGTCGTTACAAGCGGCTTCTGATTGCCGAGAAATCTTGGACGAGCATCGACCATTGGAAATTGTACTCAACCTCCTTCACAGTCTCTCTCCATTCGTCCCACCATTTCCGCAGTTGACTGATATTCATTTGACACTTGTTCGTGGCTGATTAATGTGCATTTGCCGTTAATAACAGCTTCTTTAAGTAATTTATTTAATTGCTTTGCTCCCAGTGGCTTCATTTCAGCCATTGATACCTCAATATGGAACATCTTTCTCCTAATTTAGAAGCTATCATCTGTTCTGTAATGTATACTCATCTTCTAATGATCTTTCTCCGAAGCGGAAGACGCGTTACGCTACGCACTCGGTCTAGGTATATCATAAAATATAAATACGTCAAGGTGAAATTTATCGCCTTGGCCTCTTCGTCCTTAAAGATATGCGTGTCAGTACCATATACAGGTATATGCTTAAACCGTAAGACTACTAGTAATCATGGAACAACTATTATTCTGGGGTGTAGTTGTTACAGAGTGTGCTATTGCTACTTCCACAACTTCTGTTCTTGATGCCATTATGCAACTGATTTTTTTAGAATTTATCGCTGATTGTAATTGCCGTTTGTGAACATATTAGAATTGTCTGTTTATACATCGAGGGTTATTTACAACGCTTTCTTGGGAGGAAAGGATCTGTTTGTGGAAAAGATGTTAAACATCATCAAGTGGAATAGACTTTTCATATTTTTTAGGCGGAAAAATCAGCGTTCTGGACTTTTTTGGGGATAAATGGCGCAGAATTGATTGGAAATATTTTTTGTTGGGATGAGTATGGGGTTGGAATGGGGAGTTGATGAGAATCTCTTGAAATTTGAGGATTTATAGAGCTGTTTTACTGGTTGAACAGTATTTGATGAATAATTGGGAATCGGTGGAATTAATATACGAATTTTATGAGTATATGTAAGATGTTAGAAGCAAATTAAGTATTGATGACAATGATTATTGACTATTTGATGACTTCTCGCGAAATCGCAGTCAGAGAATAGCTGATTAATTCTAATTTTATAAGAACACAGAGGAAAGTTTTTAGTTTTCAGAACAATTTTACGGATTTCTTTCTAATATCGATTAGACCTAGAAGTATTAAATTTTACACTCAATTTCAGAATGAAAATGTCTGAAATTGAATCAGAAACTTTTTTTCTAGCGGGAGACGTTTTCAAAATGGAAACGCAGTTCTTATCTTAAGATCGTATACTTTCCTAAACTTTCTTAAACATTAAAGGTCAGGGTTAAACTAAAGTTCAGGATTAATTGAACATTAATTTAACACTAATCAAGTCACAGTGTTACATGATTTACTTTTAATAAGGAGGAGTTCATAAATTACATTCTGATAAAATAATAACTTTCAGAAATATCTTAAAAGATGATTAAAACATGTGTAGATTAATTTTAGAACAAGAAAAATCATAGAATAGAACAATTTTCGCGTTTCAAAAACTCAAAAGTTCTAGATTTAAACAAATATAACTTTAATAATAATAATAAAATATATGATAAATGATAATTATGCGAAAATTGATTTAATGAAAAAATGTTTGAAATTAAATAAGAAAAAAACTTATTTCAAGTGGAAAATATTCTTGAAATACAAATAGTCGAGATTTTCTACTTCATTAATCCGAAAACATTCAAAGAAAATAAAGTTCAGGATTAATTAAAAATTAATCTAGTGTTAGATATTTTGAATAACAAAGAACCTATAAAAAACATCGAGATAAAATTATGAATTTCAGAAATATTTCAATTTCAAAATGTAGTTAAAACATTAACAGATTAATTTTACAACGA